AATTAAAACAATTATTGTATACTTCAAATGACTTAGCACCTCATGTTTGTTGTCATCATGTGTTCATATGAAAGATCTTTGATGATTAACTGGTGCTGATTCCCGATGAATATATTCGAGATAGCAAGTCCAGACAGTTGGCAGATCTGTCCATTTCTGAGACAAAAAAATGCAATTCTGCAGAAATGGATCAGTCTGCAGCCAGATCTTTAATTTGACGTTACTATAACATTGGCAAGTGGCTGAGCCATGGTTTCTTTTGCTGACTTCTCATCTAGAAGGCACCCAGCAAGCTAAACTCCACCAGGCTTTATTGTTCTCTCGCTTCTTCAGCCGGTGCAGTTACAATAACTTACTCTGCAAGGTACTTCACTGGCTTTTTCTCTCTAGGTTTGAAGAGCTGCACCAAATAATTTTTTGGCTTTTCAAAAGTTTATTACATCTACATTTAAAGAGTCACTGCCTCTTTTTAAAACCCTGAATGTCTGGTCTAAAAATAGTAGTACAAAAAAAAATAGTAGTACCACTTAACTGGCACCACATTATTATGCAAAATGCTCTATCATATAAGACACAATAAGGCAAATTATTAACATCTTTAAAGTCAAAGAAAAGACAGCACCATCATTTTTTTTTTTTTTTTTTAACTTACAGGTCCTTCCAATTGCTTTGGAATAGATTTCTTCCTTCCATGAGAAAGGGAACTCTCTGATCTGTCTGAAAGATCTCTCTGATCTGAAAATCACCTTTTCCTATATCTTCAGTTCTAGACAGTGCATCTGAGCCTTGAGGAAATGTCTTCTGATCTCCCTTTCTAAAGCAAAAGATTGGGCTCCAGACTCAGACAGATAAGGATTTTGATTTCTTCTCCACCTATGATGAGTGGTATAAACTAAGGAAATTCTCAAGGGCTCATTTTTCAAATACTGTTTCTGTGGTCAGGAATCTGGGAGTGGCTTTGAAAGAGGGGTTTCTAACTTGAGGTTACTCATACAACAGCCTTCAAGATGTTGGTCAGTGCTGCGGTCATCTGAAAACCAGACATACAGCTAGAAGATCTGCTTTTAGAATGGCTCACTCATATAGCTAGCAAGTTAGTGCTGGCTGCTGGCCTCAGCGGACTTTCCCAGAAAGTCCTCGTATGTATCATGGTTGGCTGTCTTCACAGAGTGCATGTTCCACTGTATTTGATCAGAACAGTGGCAGTGTCATATAACTCAGCCTAATAGACTAAACTTGAGTTTATATTTCAACATTTAAATAAGCATTTAAAGTTAATTTTTGTAGTGATGTTAACAAATAACCATTCTTGATTGTGTGTTGGAGGTTGTGGTCTTTTTTAAAAATTTATTGTATTATTTAATTTATTTATTATTAATATTTATTTGGCTGCACTGGGTCTTCGTTGCCGTGTCTGTGCTCTCTCTAGTTGTGGTAAGTGGGGGCTACTCTTTGTCGCCCGAATGGGCTTCTCTTGTTGTGGAATGTTGGTCCTTTAATGGACCGGAGCCGGGTGGTCCGGAGTCGACGATGAGAAAGTGAAAGAAGGAAAGAGGCTAATATTCCCTGGGTTATGCAGCCGGCTTTCGCATTCCAGGGAATCAGCCAGAAAGAGAGAGAGAGAGAGAAAGAAAGAAAGAAAGACACGGGGACCCAAGCTCTGATGGAGCAAAGGTGTTTTAATCAACAAGGCGTGGGCATGTATACTGTCTTACAAGGTAGTTATTCTCAGCAAAGATGAAGATTAAAATTCCAGGCTTACAAAACATAAGGCGATCCCTATTAAAGAGAGAGGGTTGTAAACAATCACTTTTACCGTAATGGTTCATAAGAAGGAAGAGGGTACTTATCACCGTATTGAAAAACTAATGAAGGAAAGGCCTGGATTCCTCAGCCCCGGGAAAGGCGTGCCTCTCCTCTTAATTCCTAATATTCAGGAATTAATAAGGAACGGAGGTTCATGTCAGATCCAAAACAGCACGCAGGAAGCCTCCTGTGAAATGCTTCCTGAGAGTGGAACACGCTCTAGGGAGCGTGGGCTTCAGTAGTTTTGGTGCAGGGGTTTAGCTGCACTGAAGCCTGTGGAATCCTCCTGAACCAGGCATCGAACCGGGGCGGTGGTCTCTTTAAGCAGTATGATTGCTTTGATGTTTCATAGAAAACTTTCAACGTTTATTTTGAAACATTAGTCTACTGACCATATTTATCTATATTAATTTCCCCCTGAGGCCATGATTTTGAAGCTTGAATTTTTATATATCAAGTGAAATGGGAAATGATTTTAAGGGGAGAAACAATTTTGTAAAAAAAAATTGCCATGCATTCATTTGGATGGTCATTTATGGCCTTTATGATACATAAAATTTTAGTTGGAAGGAAAAAAAACGGAAACATTTTATTGAGAAAGTCTGATATCTCAGCTGAAACATCCTTTAAGTGATTTTGGTTTCTGAGGAACTGCAGTTACTGAAGCCTTGTATTTTCTTTTTTTCATAGCAATTAAGCATAGTTGATTTTATTTTTTTCCATTTATTTTTATTAGTTGGAGGCTAATTACTTTACAACATTGTAGTGGTGCCTTGTATTTTCTGCAGCCACATTTAAGGGAGTTGTTTCCTTTTGATTTTTTAAAAAATTTACCAAAACCCCAAAACTGGCAGGAGAGAAAGGCAGCAAGAAGTTCCTGGGACAATGCAACAACCGGGAGAAACAAGGAAATGTTTACTTTGGAGCTGCGGCCCCCCCCGGTCTTACAACAATTCAACAATTGAGTTCAACAATCCAAGCCCAGTGTCTCCCTCCGCCCCCGCCTCCCTTACTTCTTCCTCCTGGGACCCTAACATCCTACTTTCCCTGACTTCCCTGTGATCTGAAGCTGGCGTCCCTCTTCACGTGGTCATCTGGCCCCAAACCACAGCTGGACGGGGGACCTCTTCATTGCTGCCCGTCTCCAAACAGCTCCATCCCGTGCCTTCTGCCCTAGTAACGCTGCCTTACTCTCTGTTTTCTTTCGATCTACTTTCTTCTTTCTCACCGCCTCTGCTCTAGGGTCAAGCTGGTTCTCTCTCGGGCCATTACAGCAGTTTCTAATCACCTCTGGGCCCCTGAATCTCACCGCCTCTGACCTGGTCCTGGATTAATTTTGCCCGCCCCAAATTCGTTCATGTTCACTCAATGTTTATTAAATAAAGACCAAGTGTGCCGGTCTCTCACTGGAGGTGCAGCACCCAAAGGTACCAAGTTACCTTTGACATTGAATGTTATCATCTTCCCTTGACTATCCGAAAAGGGACTTTCTTTCATCTGACTTCTTTTCTTGATTCTTTGCTCATGTTGTTCCCTCTTCCAAGAAATGCTGTGAATTGAAACCTCACTCATTTTTGGGGGTCTATCTCAGATGTCACCTTCTTTTGCAAAGATTTTCCTGATGACCTTACTTTTCCCTTCACTAGATATTGTCTTTCTTTTTAGGATATTCACTGAACTTAACTTTGTATCCCTCATATTTAACCATAATCAGTTTCTTTTAATATAGTGTGTACTTACCTTATCATTCTTTAAGGATTATAATGTACTTGAAAGGTCAGACACAATCATTCATCTTTTGTTTCCACTAACACCTAGACACGGTTTTAGCAAGTAATTGGACTTCAATTAAAAAAAAAGGGGGGGGGGGGCTTCCTGGGTGCCTCAGTCGGTACAGAATCTGCCTGCAATGAGGGAGACCTGGGTTCAGTTCCTGAGTTGGGAAGATTCCCCTGGAGGAGGAATAGATTACCCACTCCAGTATTCTTGGGCTTCCTGGGTGGCTCAGTTGGTAAAGAATCCACCTGTAATGTGGGAGACCTGGGTTCGATCCCTGGCTTGGGAAGAGCCACTGAAGGGACGGGCTACCCACTCCAGCATGCTTGCCTGGGGAATTCGCATGCACAGAGGCGCATGGTGGGCTGCAGTCCATAGAGTCCCAAAGAGTCCTCAGCACAAAAAAAAGCTGTGTAGCTCCACTTAAGTATTTTAAGACAGGAAAGAGCAAAGTTCCTGTGTTTATCCGACACAGTGGACACTTACGCAGCATAAATGTAAATACAGACGGATACAGGCATGTATATTTATCACTCTGCTAAGACGTCTTTGTCTCAGGATTGAAGGATACAGGGGTGTAGGCCAATGCTTTTTATTCCCAGTCGGCACCAAAAATGCCCAGATTATAATTTGAGGACAGAAAAATGGCTTCAACATCTCTTTCCGTTTGGGATTGGAGACCCGGCCAAAAGGCATGTTGGCAAACGCTAAGTTGAGCAGAGGCGGGCCCGTGTGCACCTCCCGGAGGCGCCGGGGTTGGGGTTGGCGCGGAGTCGGGCGCTGGGCGGCGGGAGGGCTGCGTGGCGCGTTTCTTCCAGCACTTCCTACTCCGCGGAACCGGGCCGACCAGTTCCCAACGCCGCCTCCTGCCTCTTAGCCCCCCTTTGTGGGCCAGGCCCACGTCGCGCGCCCTCTTCCCCGGCGCCGAGGCCGGGCCGGGGGCGCGCCGAGGCAGAGCCGGTCCGCGCATCTCTCCGCGGGCGGCCCGGGCAGGGGGCCCCAGGGCAGGGGACGAGGGCCAGAAGGCGGGAGACAGCCCCCCGGCCGGGTTTCTAGGTGAAGGGCAGGAAAACAACCGGCCGGGCGGGGCGAGGGCGGAGGGCACACATTGCTTCATCCTGTACATTTTACTGGAAACCGGGTGCATCCGGAGGAGGGGCCGGGAGGCGGTCCCGACGCCGCCAATGGCCCCGCGGGGCGCGGGAGGCCGGCGAGGCGGGGACCCCGTCTCTCCGCCCCTGGTCTCGAACGCCGGTTAAATAGTGGGGCGCTCCGGGTCCGCGCCCGTGCCCGCGACGTCCTCCCGCCGACACCCCGACCCCGTCAGAGCTAGTGCCATAGCCACAAGCGGGAGGCAGCCGCGCGCAGCGAGCCGGGGGCGCAGCTGTCTGGGGTCCCCGAGCGCCGAGCCCGGGAGCATGATCGTGGACAAGCTGCTGGACGACAGCCGCGGCGGAGAGGGGCTGCTGGACGCGGCCGGCGACTGCGGCCTCATGACCAGCCCGCTCAACCTGGCCTACTTCTGCGGCCCGTCGCCGCCCGCCGCCGCCCCCGGCGCCTGCGACGGGGGCTGCTCGGCGTCTGGGCCCTCGGCGCCAGGCTCGCCGGGCTCTGACTCCTCCGACTTCTCCTCCGCCTCGTCCGTGTCCTCCTGCGGGGCGGTGGAGTCCCGGCCGAGAGGCGGCGCCCGCGCCGAGCGGCTGCAAGGTACCCACCGGCCCCGGCGGGGCGACCCCCGGACCCCCGTCGGCCCGCGCCCGGGGAGGGGGGTGGTCTGGGCTGCCCAGATGTGAATTACCTCGGCCAGAGTTTAGCGGGGTTCTGCGCCTGCCTTAGCGGCGGTACAGGATCACACTGGTCGTCATTCTTAGGCCACGACTGGATGCCTTGCCCTGTGCTGGGCGTTTAATATCCCTCGATGCCCTTTGACCGTCTGTGAAATCCGGCTGCCGTCGGCTGGCCTGTTAGCTGGAAACACAGGGCTCTGATATGGGGGTGGGGGGTGTAGAAATGGACCACGTTGGCTTTTCTCTGTTTTCTTCTTTTAAAAAACACCTTTATTAAGCTATAATCCATATACTATGGCGAGGTTTTGGAGCCGATGTAGGTGTACCTTTTTCTCGTGACTGTTTTAGGGAAAGGCTGTAGCGAGCGATAAGGGTTTGAGTGCAAGGTTGAAGGTCATGATTTATTTCTTCCTACGTACGTTATTTGTGAAAATTTTTACGTAGAAGGACTTTATAAAGAAAAGAAACGGATATTATCAAGATGTGAGATGAAGCTGGACTGAACCAACGTACACTTTGAGTTTGATTTTCCGAAGTCCGCCCCGAATTTCTGCGGTCTTGTTTTTGTTTTCTGTGCTTTAGAGTGGTTGAGTTGTATGTAGCAGAGAAAGGCGTAATGTTTCCGGTCGTCCGCTGTGAATTGTTAGTTTTTTTTCTTAATGAACGGAGTTGCATAATTTGGGGGAAAACAGGATGCCACTGTGGGTAAACCAAAGAACGTCTAGATAATCTCACATTTTGGAAAATGTAATCAGCATGTTTTAAAGAACGTTCTCTTTCAGGTGTTCCTCGCTGCTAGCCATTCCTGTTTTGGTTGCGTTTTAAAGTGTGATTTGTCATTTTCATTTAAAAAAGTGATTCAAACCGCTCGACTTTATAAATGCTTTCTGTATCTTGAGTGTGCAGTAAATGTCAAAATTGTGTGTTTATGTAAACCTTTCCCCCTCTCCTCATTTGGCCTTCATCTGGCTGAAACTATTTTACTAGTTCTTTGGTTTACCATAGGGGATTTCTGAAACTGAATTTTTCTCCTTGTGACGTTAAGTTATTAACTGCTGTCATTCCAGAGAGATGCTGTGTTAGATTCTGGCAAGATATTTCTAGACTTAAACGTAAAACTAGCTGTTTAATTTACCCTATCATTGAGTTGTTTCTCTCGTATGTTTGATTATACATATATATATATATGTTTAAATTATGCTTTGTTTCTTGTCCCATTTTATTTTTTCTACTCTCAATGTAATTGCTTATTCATTTCCTGATCTGTGTGTGTTTACTCTGTGTTCAACTCATCCCAAGAGGTTGTGACATGGTAGTGGTCAGAGTGGAATGCTCTACTCATGTGCTACGTTTTAAAGTGTATTTGAAGCTTAAATATGAAATGAGATTATTTCCTTTTTACTTAGAAGGCCTATGTGAGCAATTCCGTAAACAGTCGGTGAGGGGAAATCCTGTGTGTGTATATGAAAATGTGTTTAAGCTTAGTGAATTTAAAGCAACTTTCTTGGCATAGCTGAACTGAGGGAAGTAATAAACTAAGACATTAATTGTTAGGCTTTGGTAAATTGTTTTGTGCCTTCTTAGGTGAGTGGAATTGATAGAGTTTAAAATTTCTGTGTGGACAGAAACCCTTTGGTTTGGAAAGCTAAAAATTCATCATTTAGCCATTGCTCTCCCAGGTTTTTTTTTCTTTTCTTTTTTTTGCTCTTCCAGGTTTTTAAAAAATCTAGAATAATTACAGATTTATGAGAGTCAGGGTGGCAAAATCTGCAGTCCTCTCTCATGCGTATTTAGGGCTGAGAGACAGAGAACTAATTTGGGTTTATCCCTTGTTTCTGGGGACCCCTGAAATGACATTTTTCTGAGCTTTAATTCCTTAGGGTGACTGGTGGGGAAAGGTATCAGGCAACGTAGAATCCTTCAATAGGGCTGGGGGCTGACATTGCAAGGTCATTGGCCGGGGTGAATTGAAGAGGCTTTGTGGTCTTGTCAGTTAGGAACTTTATCACGTTGGACAGCTGTGCATTTGAAGTTAACTAATGTTCATGTCTTTGAAGACACTCACTTGGGATATGTTTTTGTTTTTATCAGTTGAGCCCCATATGGGGGTTGTAAGGCAGCAGAGAGGACCCTTTCAAGGTGTTCGTGTGAAGAACTCGGTGAAGGAACTCCTGTTGCACATCCGAAGTCATAAACAGAAGGCTTCCGGACAAGCTGTCGATGATTTTAAGGTGGCACCTAATCTATTTGTTTTGGGTTGGGTGGCAGGGAGGTTAGTCTGTTAGGGTTATTACTTTCATAGACCACAGAGTACAAAGGACAGAGAGCATGTTTGTCCTGCTGTCTGCTAGATTCCTGTCACTGGGCCCAGCGCTGGGTACTTGGCAGGTGTGCAAGAGAGATTTAATGAGTGTGTAAATGAAGGCAAGTTGGGGGCAAGGAAATTAATGTGGTTCAGTTAAATGGAACATTTTGATGAGAAAGGGAAAACTTAAGTGGCCTTGTTAATTTTGTCTTGACCCAAGTTGAACGAGGTGAAAATGCAAATGGGGGAAGTTGTACGGTGGGATGGAAATTAACATAGAAAAGAAATACTGTTAGACTGGTGTAGCGTAGGTTCATGGCAAACCACAAAGAGTGGTAGAGATATCTGTTTATTGATATATGTTAATCAGGAAACCATTTATCACACACTAAATTGGAAACTTTTTTTTCCCTTATAGAACCAAGGTGTGAACAGAGAGCAATTCACAGGTAAGGGTTACCTCTATTTATATTTTGGGGGCTCTAGGGTAAAATAGTATACTGTGATTAGGGGCAAGATTTTGTGAAGTAAAATGATCATAGATTCCATGTTCCTTTCTCAGGTACAGATTTGAAGAACACAGTATCATATAGTGGGAAAAGGAAAGGCTCTGATCCTCTGTCTGATGGACCAGCTTGCAAAAGATCAGCTTTGTTACATACCCAGTTTTTGGTATGTATCTCACTGTTTTCCTCTAAATACCCTTCAGAAATTATTTTTGGAATAATTTTGGAAGAGAATGTGCAACTTCCTTTTTCTTGCTTTCCAGACACCGCCTCAAACACCCACACCCGCAGAGAGCATGGAAGATGCCCATCACAGCGACTCCAAGCAGGACAGCTGTGCCGATCTGCTTCAGAACATTATCAACATTAAGAACGAACGCAGCCCGGTTTCCCTGAACACTGTCCAAGTTAGCTGGATGAGCCCCGTGGAGGCCTCTCAGGGATCCCCCCACGAGCAGTGTCAGGAGCTCCACAGAGGGCCGGTCTTCTCTCCACCTCAGAAATACCAGCCCTTCCAAGTCGGCAGCTCCCCACACGTGATGGATCAGGCTCCCGTGTACCAGTATTCACCACAGAACCAGAGCGTGCAGCCGCCGCCCCAGCACTACGCCCACGGTCCAGCCCTGGAATACAGCCCTTATTCCAGAACTGCCCAGTCCCCCAGCTATGAGCCACACTTGTTTGGTCGAGAACCACAGTTCTGCCTGGACCAGAGTTTTGCACCCCTCCTAAGTGATCCCCGGGAATCTGAGAATATTGCCGTTCCCCCTCAGACTGTTCCCAGCGTTCAGCAGCCAATTGACACCCACCTGCAGAATTTCAACCTGATGCCACCAGGCGCCTGTGAGGCCCTGGCAAGGCCGGGTACAGGCTCTACCCCTTTAAGCACACCGCTGCCCTTCCCGAACCTTGGCGGAAATCCAATGAATACCACACAGTTAGGGAAATCATTTTTTCAGTGGCAAGTAGAGCAGGAAGAAAACAAATTGGCGAATATCTCCCAAGACCAGTTTCTTTCAAAGGATGCAGATGGTGACACGTAAGTATATCCTTCTATGTCATTGAGCTAATTTGGTAAGCCATGGTGTTGGCCATGGTGAGCACAGGGGTATGCCAATTTAGATCTGAGTAAATGATTGGCTAATCTAGTTGACTAGTGGAGGCAGAACGATAGCTCATATTTCAAAGAAGAGTTTTCTTTATGGGTTTTTTTTTTTTTTTTCCTGGTTGAACAAATTACCTGTTCCAAATTAATAAAAATGTATTTGGCCTCTTTGAATAATTGGTTTTGAAAGATTAGCACAGATTATGTCCGTAGAGCAAAGTCAGTTAGATCATAGTTGGTTAGTCATGATCAACCCTGAGTTGATTTGTAGATTGATATGGATCTGTCCTCACATCTTTGTGAACCTGGGCAAATTGTTTAAGCTCTCTGTACTTTAGTTTCTGGGCATGTAAAATGGTACTATCTTCCCCATTGGGTTTTTAAGAACATTAAAAATGTTGGATTTAATGCAATCAACATGGTACTTGGCGTACTTCTTTCTAGGTAACCTACTTCCTCTTGTAACACAGGTAGGTATTGTCAGCATAGCAGAAAAGACAAATTATGCTCTGTACTGTTTCATTTTTCATACTGTTTATGGGGTTCAGGAGATAGTGAAGGATAGATAAGCCTGGCAAGCTGCTGTCCATGGGGTCACAAAGAGTCGGACACAATTTAGCAACGGAACAGCAATAGTAGCAGCTGTTTCATTTGAGTATACCAGCACATCAAGAAAGGGGCTGAAGGAAGAATTTTTTTTAAAAGATGAGCTCAGTGAAATCAGAAATAATTTACCTCTTTTTCCTTTTCTTTCCCCCAGGTTCCTGCATATTGCTGTTGCCCAAGGGAGAAGGGCTCTTTCCTATGTCCTTGCAAGAAAGATGAATGCGCTTCACATGCTAGATATTAAAGAGCACAATGGACAGGTGAGGATGTTTTCTTTTTTAATTAATTTTTTAACTGGAGGAAAATTGCTTTCAATGTACTGAAGTCTTTACAGGAGGCTTCAGTACTTCTTGAGCCTTCCTCCCCTCCCCCAGGTAAGTATCTCAACGGAGGGAAATGGCAAAGGTGTTGTCAAGATGATAGCTGGTCTCGTATTCCAGTGTAGATTATTTCAGAGTTCCAGACCAAAAGAGTTGAGTTAATATTAACTTTGGGATGTTGACTTTGTCACTGCCAACCTTGAAGTTATTAACGTTAACTTTGTAGTCATTTGACCAAAGACTTAATGAGGTGTAATAAAGCCTCACCCTAAGCTGATTTTTAGTTTCCTTGTATTACAGTATCTTACAGCTTATTAATAGGATTTATTTTTTTCTCTTTGGGTTTTTTCCCCTTCAGTCCTAGTTTAGGTTCATATTCCTTGTTATGATAGTTTTATAATTTTCAAAACATATATTTTTTTTCCTCTGCATGTCCACAGAGTGCCTTCCAGGTAGCAGTGGCCGCCAATCAGCACCTCATCGTGCAGGATCTAGTGACCCTCGGGGCGCAGGTGAACACCACTGACTGCTGGGGGAGAACACCCCTGCACGTGTGTGCGGAGAAGGGCCACTCCCAAGTGCTTCAGGTAAGAGGCAGCAAGCCAGGCTCCCGTGACCACAGGGCCACGGGGTAGGGCTTAGAAATCAGAAGTTGGGTGCACGTTGCCTTTTGCAATACTGTCTTCTGAGTGGACCTGTTCCTGTCTTGGGACACTTGTAGATAAGTATTTGGGAGCGCTTGTCTTGTGCTGAGTTAAATGTCTACTTTTAAATCCCGCAGGCAATTCAGAAGGGAGCAGCAGGGAGCAACCAGTTTGTGGATCTGGAGGCAACTAATTATGATGGTAAGCAGTGGGCATGTTACTGGGTGAAGAAGCATTCAGAGAGCGGGGCCCTGTAGTTCCAAGGGCATTAAGTTCAATACCAAGAAGGAAGGGAGTTAATGAAAGCTCAGATATTCTACAGGTAAAGTTAGCGCTAAGACCCAATGGAGGAAATCCTCAGATTTCCCTAGTGGTTCTTGTGGTGCCCATACACAGGTCACACAGATGCTACCCCCAAGGTGTGTAATTACAGAACAACTAAAAGAATTGATGGGAGGCTTGATCTCTGCTTTCTTAAACTTTTTTCTAGGCCTGACCCCTCTACACTGCGCAGTCTTGGCCCACAATGCCGTGGTGCACGAACTCCAGAGAAATCAACAGCCCCACTCACCTGAAGTTCAGGAGCTTTTGCTGAAGAATAAAAGTCTAGTTGATACAATTAAGTGTCTGATTCAAATGGGAGCAGCAGTGGAAGCTAAGGTAAATTCACAGCAGAGTTTAGACATGGAATGTGGGAGAGAAGTGGTTATTAGCAGAAGAGCTTGTTCCCAAGTAGAGATTTTAAAACTTTTTCCTCTTTTTATTTTATCTCCCCCTTTTAAAAAAATTAATGGAGTGAGTAGCAATGCATGCATAGTTAAGGAGTTTAGATTTTAAAAGGTCACCTCATTTGCTTTCTTGATTTGTGTTTAATCTATGGCTTATTATTCAGAAAATCGTTCAGCTGTGAAATGAATTAGTCTTTATTTGAAAAGGAAAAGAATATGCTTGAAACTGATATTTTCATCTTGGCTTCAGTTGTCATACATAGATAATAAAAGCATTGCATTTCGTAGGGGTTTCTTCATTGTTGTGGAATCTGGACTTAATCTTCTGTTTTTTTAAACTGGAAAATATTTTGTTATCTTTAAATCTGAGGTTTCTTTACTGAATATCTACTGTGTGCAAGGCACTGAGTTAGGGGCTCTACGGGAAGATGCCTAAATCATAAGCCCTTTGGGTCCTTGGGGAGCTTACTGTCTAGTAGAAATGGTGAGAGAGATAGCTAACTGTAAGTCTACAGGATGGCCACCTGGAAACACAGGCGGATACGCAGTAAATGGTTTCTTGTACTATATTACTGCACTCGATAAAAACAGTGTAGTCTGTTTCTACATTTTATGGCCACCTGGTGCATAAGGGTAGATGTGATAAGAGGCATGTAGGCAAATACAAGGGAATTTCAAAGGAGAAATGAGATTTCCTGGAGCTTGGAATGAAAGAAGGGTTTGTGGAGAAGGGAGTGCTTCAAGGGAGTCTCCACGGGTGAGTCAGACGTAGGCCAGACTGGGTGAGAAGCGCGTGTCTAGGGCGTGGTGTCAGATGTTCATTTTCTCCTGCCTCTTGCCTTTGACAAGGACCGTAAAAGTGGCCGTACCGCCCTGCATCTGGCAGCTGAAGAAGCAAACCTGGAACTCATTCGCCTCTTTTTGGAGCTGCCCAGCTGCCTGTCTTTTGTGAATGCAAAGGTACTTTTAGGAATACTTGAGAGCTGCACGAGAGTTGGAATGACCTTCTTTATACGTTCTTCAAGCTTTTGAGCTGCTTTTGTGAAAGTCTCCTATCCTCACGGGTGTCCTTTCTCTCGGTCTTCAGGCTTACAATGGGAACACCGCCCTCCATGTCGCCGCCAGCCTGCAGTATCGGGTGACGCAGCTGGATGCAGTCCGCCTGTTGATGAGGAAGGGAGCAGACCCAAGTACTCGGAACTTGGAGAACGAACAGCCAGTGCATTTGGTTCCTGATGGCCCTGTGGGAGAGCAGGTGAGGGCCCCAGAAGGGAAAGACGCACTTGTAGGCCCTGTCTGTCCTGAAGCGTAAGAGCGGCGGGCCAGCTGGCACTCTGCAGGTGGGCCCTGTCGGCGCGTGTGTCTCAGCAGTTGTCGTTGTTGCCCTTTGGAGTCAACTGCTTTGTTTCCAACGGAAGAGTAAGACATTTAAGGGTGTATCCGTGGACCCCAAATGCTTAGAAGTCAGGCAGTCTTTCCTTTTCTTCCAAGATACAAACTTAGGTTTGAACTAAGTCAGAATGGTTTGACATCTGGCAGTTGATGAAAGAGGAGGAAGCAAGGTTCCTGTAGACACTGAGGAGATAGAAGCTAGTTTTGTGAGTAAGTGATGAGCCTTCAAATAGTGTGGGTATCAGGTGAGTCAGTATCTGCAGAGTGTTCAGAATACGTCCAGACACCTGAGTGCTCAGTAAACGTTAGCCGTGAACAATGATTTCTGTCTGCTAACTGATCCTAAGTAAAAAGTGGGAAAGTTATTTATGTAATTTTGAACCTAGAAATAGTTCATACTTTAAATAGAATTATGCTTTACTTATCATATGATTCTATATTACGTTTGGAGATTGAACAGTTTCATATGACTAAACTTTTCCTGATAATAAGAGCTGACTCTTTAAGAACTTAAAAGGTTTTTGATGAAACTTTTCCCCTGGAGGAAATGAGGTGATTGTGGCTGTAGGTCATTATATATTGTAATAATCACAAAATAAAATATACAGAATGCAATTTAGCCTTTTCTTTGATTTACAGCTCCCATTGTGGCCACAATGTTATAGTAACTCATATTTGTAGATTTCTTGATTGCTGAAAACAAATCTCTTGATAACTTGTAGTTATCTCTTGATAACTTGTAGTGATCTCTTGATAACTTGTAGTGGTATATTATACCACCTAATAGTCAGGAAAACTTTGCAGGATGAAGGTTAAACTGGAAAGAATGAGATTCAGAGTGGTTCCAGGCACAGGAACCATCCTTAAATAGTAAATGACAGAGTCCTAAGTGTTACCTTCTGCTTCACTGTTTGTGGTGTGCATTCATAGAGTGATGTTCTCAGGGAGTATCGAGCTTGCAAAGTTGCTTAACTCTTTGGTAAATACATGTTCTCAGATTATTCTTCTTTCTGCTTTTGTATTTTTGTTTCTCTCTGTTTGGAGAGAGGATCTTTTCCTTGTGCTTTTGTTGTCAGACTACAGTCGTTGTGTCTCCTTTTGGTAGCTATCAATTGCATCCCTCACTCCAATCTTCCTTCTTTTAATTTGTTGCTTCTAATCTCCTGTGGGCTGAGAGACATGATAAAATTTGTCAGGCTGGGGTATAAAATCAATGATTAGACTCTCAGTGAGCCTAAGGGCTTTCCTGTGATCCATATAGTCATGCACAGATACTTTCATTCTGGGCTATCTTGATAGCTATCTTGACTCGAAGAACATTATAATTTACTTATATCTGTAAGAAAGACTCTGGGTTCTTAGTTGAGGCTGACATCAAGGTAGGTGAGATATTATAATCATGATTACTGCCTTGTTTTACATGTTCTCACAAATAACAGAAGATTAGGAAAGGAATATAGGTCTTTGTTAAAACCAGTTGGAGATGAGATGTTCAGCTTCAGATGATTTTTTTCCTGGAGATGCTTTACTTTCTTGTACTCGAAGCTCACTATAGGAGAGCTGTAGTGAACCTTAAAAGAAGTTGTAGTATTTTTTTTTTTCAAGTCCCCTTAAAATCTTGACACATCCTGTTGGGAGGTGGTACTTTGATTGTAAAAAAGAAACCTCACAAATCTTGTTGGTTTCCTTTCCAGATCCGACGTATCCTGAAGGGAAAGTCCATTCAGCAGAGAGCTCCACCGTATTAGCTCCCTGGGTTTGGAGCCTGGTCGGCAATACTCACTGTCAGTTAGGCAGTCCTATTGTATCTGTACATAGACCATTTGCTTTGTATTGGCAAATGTAAGTTGTTTCTATGAAACAAACATATTTAGTTCACTATTATATAGTGGGTTATGTTAAAAGAAAAGGAGAAAAATACCTAATTCCTCTTGGCAGATTTTAATATTTCATGCCCAGGTATCTGGGATCTAGACATCTGAATTTAATTATGGTAAAATCGACTTCAATTAACAGTAGCTTTTTGGCCCTGATTTGTGGTATCAGGTACTACTCATGTAGCTATCGCCAGTTTAAAAGGAGAATCGTTGACTTTTTTTTGAAGAAAAATGAAAGCATTTGAAAGTTAAAAAGTAAATCTGGACATAGCCTTGAGGCTTCATTTGGCCTGATACATACAGTACCTGATAGTTACCGGTGTTGGAAAGTATCTGTAGTAACTGGACTGGATGAAAGGTACCATGGTTAAAGTTTGATCTTTGAAGATTGTATATAATTTTTATTTTTGTCTTTTAAAATATTTTACATATATGGTCATTAACATGACCACATTTGAAATGTATATATCAATAAAATAGAAAAAAACAAGTGGATTTTCACTGTTTTTAAAAATTATTTGCCTTCAAAGGAGCTTTGTAAGCACCACCTCTGTAGATGAAACAGATGGAGAATTGTTCCCTTAGTGGCTGGTAGAGCTCTGGCTTGTAAGCATGCTTTCAGATGAGATGTATTATTTGTAGGGAACTGCATGCTATTAAAGAGAACACCTCTTTAAGATTCGCTTTCTAGAATTTTGACTTCCTGCTCTGTTGGAATTCTTGTTTTGACTTTATAAGAACAACAGAAAGTCAGTATTGAAACATGTTTTACTGGTTTTCTGTTGTCAGATAATGATAATGCACCAAGATGTTCTATATTACCATTCAGAAAAAAATGTTTTTTAGTAACTTTAATTATATTAATATTATTTTGCTTATCTCTTGCATACTCTGAGGAACATATTTGGCTTTGATTGCACATTAATTCTTGGTAATAAATTTGATTTATGAAAAACCTCTATCTTTTTTTCTTTTAAATGAGAAGTGTCATAAGCAATTGACTGACTAATCGTCTTTGTAGTTAAGTACTTAAATCCTTTTAAAATAGATAACCTTTGGATCGATCACATTGTTTGACCCAGTATGTCTTGTGGACAAAAGTTAGTTATGGTTATTTGGTATCTGAAAGTATGGTTGTTATGTGAATCTGTCCATTCACAATGGAAATACTCATACATTGCTTTAAATAAACATTAATTGAATAATACTGTTCTTAAGGATGTGAATTTTCTTTTCCTAGACCTTATATATATTTCCCAAGGTTGAAAAGAGCTGTTACTCACTAATCTAAAACCTTTAAATGAGCCAATATATATTAATTTGGGTTTTTTTCTTCAGAGTGTGTTTCCTAGTTACATAATCTTTAACATGAAAAAGCTCTTTGTCAAGTTCATCAGTAGAGATTTACTAGGTTCTGAAAATATCATGGATGTTTACTAGATACTATTGATCATTTAGAAGTTTATGTGCTAAAAAGTGTAAGTCTTTATGACTTTCGTACTTTATTTTGTGGGAGCATAGAAAAAACTATTTGGAGATTACCAGGATCATTCTGGGAGATGTAAATGTGGGGATAGCAGTAAATGGGGTCCCTCCCTTTCCGAACATGTCATTTTGATCAGTGAGAACAGATGCATCAATGTCTGTCAACATCAGTCAATCACTGCACATGCATTCTAGATCTAGTACCCTCCTTTGAGAATATGATGTGCATATACACACAAATTAATTAACTGAAGCAGTACTTAGCAAGCATGTGATTGTGTATCTGTGTGTGCAAAGCTGTCTGATAGATATTTTGAGGTATTCAAAGACATTTCTTAATTAAGATACATATGTAGGAGACATGACATTTACTTGATTAGCAAAAAGAGGAAGAAATACAAAGATTCAAAGAGAAAAACTTCATATCTGAATGGGGAGAACTAGGGAGGCTTCAAGGTAGAGCATTTGAGCTGTATTTTCAGAAGAGCTGAATGTGAATGTTCATGGAAGCGGAGAGGGAGGAGAATGAAACAGCAAACGACATGAACCAAGGCAGTATTTGGGGGAACCACGAGAGATTCAGTGTAGCTTGGCTAGCCAAGCTATTTGGATGGCCAAGAAGCCTCATCTTGTGTTCTACCTCCAACTGGTAATATGAATAGCATATTGAGACAGATCTTTAGGCAGTCTAGGGGCTCTGGCAGGAGAGGGTGCTGTAATTGATTATCAGATATCGGCTGTATGGGTATAGAGGGTGGTTCTTGATGGAATATTCCTTAAAGAGTGACCCCCATGGAAGCCAAGACTACGAGCTCGTTGCTGCAACCTCAGTGCCCAGCAAAGTGCCTGGCATAGAGTAGGAACTTATACTGGTTAAATGAGTGAGTGAAAGTATGTCAATCCTGCTTGGGATTCATGGGTTTTGGGGGGAACTGGTGTTGCAAGCCAGACATAAAGTACTAACATAAAATACTAATGAGTTAACGACTATCACACTTCTAACTTAACTCAGCCGTATAACATAACAATGATATCGATACATTAATGAAAAGGGCATAGCTGGCACTCTTTAAAAAAAAAAAAATCAGTCCTGTGCAAGGGATTAATTCTAATACTGTAGTTTGGTGTTTCACTAAGGAATTCCCTGAAGTATCAGAGACCAAATCTTCCAGCTCTATTTGTTAATCAAATAAGTCACATTTAATATCCTTTCTATATTTTTACTTAATCAGGAGTGGAGAATTTCCTCAAATTCCTCTCAGTTGAGTCGCTCAGTTGTGTCTGCCTCTTTGCGACCCCATGAATCACCAGATGGTCAACACTGAAATCAAATTACTTTAACTTTTGGTAAATGTCAACTTCTTGAACTCGGTACCACTGACTCATTTTCTGATAACATCAGCTCTGTATTGAACATGACTCCAGGGAGAAACCAACTTCAGTGACTAAGTTCTTGTTGGTCTCTCTGAGATATGGCCCAGGTACAAGGTTTTATACATTAGTTGCAACCAGATGACTGGGTTTTTGGTTTTCCTGCTAGTGCCCAGGATTTGTCCTTGACAGGAGGAGAGGGACCATCTTACTCCTTATCAGAGGCTTCACACCTAGCACAGTATCTGACACGTCGGACCCGTTCAATAAATACTTCTTAAATCGAATTTAATTTCATGGCTTCCTTTTTAGTTTATATTTTCTCTATATTTTATACCTCAGTGTACAGACATTTTTTCATGTGGCATTTATGATTTAATTCTGAAAGACGTTTTTCTTCAGCTGTGCACCAAGTCTGGTTTAGCTTTATCTTCTCAGCCCCCTCATTCCACCCTTGGTGTCTGGGTAGACTCAGAAACATCGCATGGATGACACATTTCCTGGAGGACTAAGTGGAGATCACTCTCAAAGTGTGTCTAGCTTTTTCACATGTGTCCTTTGTCCTCCAACCCTTTATCCCCTGGTCCCTCCATCACACTATTCTCCTTGTCTATAAGCCCGAGAAGATTTGGGGATAAGAGTACCAGGCAGCTAGCCCAGCTGCTAAATGCCCTAGGTTCAGGGTTTCAGTCTTTTTTTGTTTTTAAACTTTTAGTTTTGTATTGGGGTACAGCCGGTTAACAAACAGCGTTGTGATGGTTTCAGGTGAGCAGCAAAGGGATGCAGCGACACATATATGTATGTATCCATTCTCCCCCAGACTCCCCTCCCATCCAGGCTGCCACATAGCACTGAGCAGAATTCCCTGAGATACGCAGTAAAGTCCAAGTTGATTATCCACTGTAAATACGGCAGGGTTTACATGTCCATCCCAAACTCCCTATCCTGTACCCACATCCTTCCCCCTAGCAACCATGTTTGTTTTCTGTGAGTCTCTGTTCTGTAAGTAATTTCATTTGTATCATTTCTTTTTAGATTCCATAAGTAAGGGATGCATACAATATTTCTCCTCTGTCTGACTTACTTCACTCAGTATGACATCTCTAGATCCATCCAAGTTGCTGCAAAGGTCATTATTTCATTCTTTTTAATGGATGAGTGATCATCCATTGTGTCTGCCAATGCAGGATATGCAAGAAATGTGGGTTTGATCCCTGCATCAGTAAGATCCCCTGGAGGAGGAAATGGCAACTCGCTCCAGTATTCTTGCCTGGAAAATTCCATAGAGGATCCTGGCAAGTTATAGTCCATGGGTTTGCAAAGAGTCAGACAGGACTGAGTACACACACAGTATTCCATTGTTTATATGTACTGCATTTTCTTTATCCATTCCTCTGTTGATGGGCATTGAGGTTGTCAAGCTTTCAGTCTTTGCCACCCAAGACATCAGCATCTTTTATGAAGCTTGTTAATCACGCAAATACCTTAGCCCTGCTCCAGACACACTTGAACAGAATCTCCAGGGTTTTTAAGGCTTCCAGCACGTACGAGTGAAGATGATTCTAGTGCCCAGTTTAGTCTAAATTAATTAGGAAATGCAGATTTTGGAGAGTAGCTGTGACTGGGCGATAGCTATATGGTGGTAACAGAATGGGTTGCTGAAATGCCTGTGGGGATGAGGTGGCAAACCGATGAATGCTTGCTATGTGCCAGACGTGTTGGATCCTGTGTTATAGAAACTAGCTTTGAAGGAGCGATCGGGAGTCAGCTAAACTGGTTTTTTTTTTTTGCTCTCAGAAAACACTTTTCTGAGGTCATCTGGCTTTTAATTCGTAGGTGTATTTGTTTCCTAGGACTGTGTAACAAAGTACAAACTTGGTGGCTTAAGTCACCAGAACAGAGAAATTGATTCTCTTACCGTTCTGGAGGCCAGGCATCTGAAACAAAGGTTTCTCAGAACCACGCTCTTTCCAAAGGCTGTAGGAGAGAGTCCTCCTTCACCTCTTTCAGCTTCTGGCAGCCCCGCACGTTCCTCGGAGGGTGGCAGGGTAACTCCAGTCCCCACCTCCGTCTTCACAGGGGCTTCTCCCCTCCCTGCGCTGTCCACTGGGTGTCTCTTATAAGGACACTCATCATTGGATTTAAGGCCCAGATAGATAATCCGTAACGACCTCATTTTGAGATTCTTTAATTACATGTGCTAAGACTTTTTCCAGTTGAGATCATAGTCATAGGTTCTGAGGTTTATGATGTTTATATCTTTCTTGGGGGTGGGGCGCTAAGTTTAACCTATCAAAAGAAGCTTTATATTCTTTTCTGTTAGCTGTTATTCTCTCAAAGTGATTAAGAAGAATACCTCTTTTTGAGCAATCCTGTAGTTTGTCTTCAGAATCTGTGAGGATCTCTTCCACATAATTATTGATTTAATGGATGATACATCATCTCCATTTTATTTATTACCTATAACGCCTGGCATTGATCAGGAACCTCATTTACCATTGGTAAACTTTAATAGAAACCATAAAATAATTACTGAGATAAAATTCTAAAAATTATTGTAATGATTTAAAGAACTTTCATTGTTTGAAACTTAGAACAAATCTTCTCTGACGATCATTAGTCATTCTACCCTCTGGCACATGTATGAATAAACCTGCTACTCTCCACCTCGGATCACACTACCTAGAGTTGCCCATGTGAGAAGCAACGATCACAAAATGCCTATATTTTAGATCAACTGACCTTATAATGATAATACCAAAGTAGGCACTCATTGGAAACTGCAGACCTGAAAGTGAAGACTCAACTCAAGGAAAGCCATAGTTTCAGAAAATAAATATTGATCCATTTGGCCAAGTTCCACTGAAATGTACTTTTTTAGGCCTAAATATTATTTTTTTTAAGTGAAAAGGATTCTGTGGACTTGGTAATTAGATCCAGCATGCATTTCTTGTTGGAACAGCTTAGTATCTTTGGGCTTGACGATAGGGACACATTTCAGGTTGTGAAATTCTACTAGATGTCTTAGCTTAATTGATTTGGGGCATAAGTTTGAAATTGCTGTTTATTTTCTTAATTCGTGGTATCTTAATTCACATGGCCTTCTCTCTATGTGTGCAGCCAGTGTCTCTTCTCAGGCAGGATTTTAGTTTTAAGTACTTGCGTGAAAGCATGGGATCCCTCTCGACCGGCTCCACTGAAAGCCCCAGGTACTGCACTGCCCTGCAGGTGAAGTGTTCCTCGCTCTGCACTTAAGTTTCTTCAGTTCAGGCAATTATCCCAGTGCAAGCCTGCCCACTGAGATCTGTCTTTTCAGATTGGCTCCAAATGTTTTTTACATTGGATATCACTTTCAT